AGTAAGGGATGTTTCCCCTTTGGGGAACTTTAAATTACAATGCTAATCCAAGTCAATGCCTTTCAAATAAAGGAGATAAAAAAAAGTCTAAACATTATACTATCATATTTGCTATAGGTTAAAGACCTAGATCAGTTTTCTGTGTCTGCTAATTACAAAGGAAAACTGCTGGAAGTAAACCTGAATCAACAAACAAACAGGCAAATGAACAACTCTTCTTGTCTGCATGTTTATTTCCAAGTCAAACTCCCTTGCAGACTTAGGCTGTGATAGCCGCCCTGAATCGCAGGGCCAGGTCCCTCCTGACAACCGCAGATAACCTTACAGGGGAAACTGCATACTTTTGGCCGGTGGTGGCCTTTCCTATCCAGTTTCCATGGAGACGGATCTTGGAAATCATCTAAAAGCAACTATTTTAAAAGGCAGGATGTTAAAATCCTTATGCTGTCTTCATTGGTTTGACCTCTGTTTTTATCAAAACTGAGATTGTAATCTTAAAACAGTCAGCTGAGAATGAAATCACTGGTTCATTTCCATTGCTGGAAACCAAAATCGATCTTTGGGCACCTAAGGTGACCACTGTACATATGTTACCTTTTAGTACGAGTCTTTTTGTGTGATTGCTTAGGTAAGACCCACGCAGCCAACTGAAGCTCTGGATTTAATTCTGTACTTAGGATTTGATTGCTTTGTTAAAGAAATGCTTTGAAAATCAGCATATAGCAACTTTAAAAAAATTAAACATCTGTCTCCTAGAGAACGAACAGGGAGTTTATGTGGATCTCCTTTGGACTGCCATCTTAACCTCAACTATTGCCAACAAAACAAAAAAATGTGGCTGGGAACAGCAATGTGCTATGCCTCAGATGAAGTTATAATACCTACTGTCATCAGTGAAACATACTGGTTTTTTCAGCAGTGGTGATAGATGAAACTAGAACCATCCTTACTTTCTCTTATTTGGGTCTCCTGGTTCCTAATGGCAAGGGGGACAGATTAAATAGAATTTAGGGTATAGCCATGTATCTAAGTGCACTCGTGTTTTTGGGGTTTGCAAATTCTAAAAGAAAGCTTACATTTTGTGTATTGATTTTGATAATAATCTTTGAGTATATATTTAGCATTTAGGGAAATCTTTTAAGCAGTAATATATCAAAATATTTTGTTTTTATAGTAAGATATTATTTAAGTCACTTCAAATGACATCCTCTCAACTACTGATGGTCTGCTGACATATTCTTGGAGACACTAGAGAGTGTGTCTTTAGATAGATAGAACATGGAGATCAGATTTCATTTTTTTCTGTTGTGGCTTTGGTATAGTAAAAACAAACAAAAAAATAAGCTCTTAGATGGGTGGCGTTGAGAGACTCGCCTTTTCTAGAATCAGTTCCTTTATCAGTAATATTTGGGTAGCTTATGGGGCTATTGTGCTAAAGGAAATAAAGTATGTGAGGTGTTCATAAAGTGCTAACCTGTAGTAATGCTATGGTGGTGTTTGCTCTAGGATAATGGTTGTGTTAAAAGACACACTACCTCAGAAAATATCTTTGCATGTTACATAATGTCTTTAAACTCTGATTTCCTTACCTATAAAATAGTACCTGCTTTATATGTTTATTGTGGGGAGAAAAGTGACATAATGCACATAAAGGAGTAATCATAGTAACTGGCACATACAAATCGCAGGTATTAATATTCTAGTCTCAGTATTATAGTCCTTAGATATAATAGAGTAACATACATCTTCGGCAATTGAACTATGCATGAGTCATCATTCTGTGTAAAATTTTAAATTCTTCCATGAAAATTTTAAAGGTGGGTGCTGTCTATAGTGACAATTTTTCCAAGAAGATAAAATAGTTTTCTAATACTGCCTTGTGTATGAATCTTTAGTTGACTGTTAACTTATCCAAGAAAGCTTTTATGAGAATTAATTCAAGCAATCAGGAGCAATAAAAGCAATTCTAAGTTAACAAGAGGCTTATCAAGTTGAATGAATAGCAAGGATTTTAAGAATATTTGAGCGCTATGAATTGTGTAAGACTGATGAATCACAGACCTGTCTCTCTGAAACAAATAATACATTATATGTTAACAAAAAAGAAGAAGAAGAAGATAGTAGGAAGGGAAAAATGAAGGGGGGGAATCGGAGGGGGAGACGAACTATGAGAGACTATGGACTCTGAGAAACAAACTGAGGGTTCTAGAGGGGAGGGGGTGGGGGGATGGGTTAGCCTCGTGATGGGTATTAAAGAGGGCACATACTGCATGGAGCACTGGGTGTTATACACAAACAATGAATCATGGAACACTACATCAAAAACTAATGATGTAATGTATGGTGATTAACATAACATAATAAAATAAAATAAAATAAAATAAAAAAACCCAACTAAATAATACTGTGCATATTGACAATAAATCTACTAAATGATGTTAAAAAAAAGAATATTTGAATTAGTAATCTGATACTGATAGCTGCCAGTGTTGGGGTAAGTCTCTTTTTAAGGAACCTGTGGACCCACTGGTACTTCACGCCTTCAAAGTTGGCTGTGCAATTAGGTGTATCAGAGAAGGCTTGCTTCTGCCTTTCTCTTTGGCAATCAGAATCATGCAAGGCAGCAACTAGACGGTCCTGGGCCAACACTGCCCTGTGGTGTTTGATTTAGGGAAGTGGCAACTTCCAGGGTCTAACAGTAGGGAATTACCAAATCCCAAAAGGTATCTCCAGGCGCTTCTCCCATCCCTCCTCCTCTCTAACCAATTCCCTTGCTAGGAAAGTGTGCAAATAACCCTTCCCTTCATTGTCTGGTCTTCCTCTTAAGTTAAACTCATTCCACTTTTGCTAATCTCTCATGCACACATATATCATGTATACTCATTTTCCTTCTCATCTGTCTTCCAACTATTTGCTCAGTAATGCCAAGAAATCTCTCTCTGTCTCTCTCTGTTTCTCTCCCTCTCTCTCTCCACATTTCTTTTTTTTTTTTTTTTAAAGATTTTATTTATTTATTTGACAGAGAGAGACATAGCGAGAGCAGGAACACAAGCAGGGGGAGTGGGAGAGGGAGAAGCAGGCTTCCCGCAGAGCAGGGAGCCCGATGCGGGGCTCGATCCCAGGACCCTGGGATCATGACCTGAGCCGAAGGCAGACGCTTAACGACTGAGCCACCCAGACGCCCCATCTCCACATTTCTTTATTTCCCTTTTTATTCCGTGTAAAAGGACAGCAGTAATTATGACTATTTGCTGGGATAGGGAGAGTGATTACATCTGGAGCAAGGTACAAGAATGCTATAGTATTGACATAAAAGGAGCTCAGTAGAGATTCAGTGCTGTCAACTTGCAGAACCTTTGAGAGTACACTAAAGGGCTTCAGACCTTCCAGTAGAGTCTTGGTTCCTCTGCAATTAAGCCTGCTTTGACTCAAACAAAGTCAAAGGACTGAGTAGGATTATAGATGCATTGTTAAAACTTATTTCAATTATGTTTTTTCTGTTTATAGCACTACAGTGCTTATTAATGGACCCCATATTCTATTGTGTTTCGACTGATGAATAGTTTTCCTTTGGCTATAAAATCAGCAGTTGTGAGCCTCCATTGACCCTATTCATTACTCTAGTACCTATTTTATACATTCCCCTGCTTCATGAAGCCTGAATGAATAGACATTTCTTGTATTAGCCAGGATATGGTAAGTTATATCATACTAACAGATATGTCCTGAAATCTCTTTGCTTGATACAATAGAGGTTCGTGTCTCACTTAGCTGAAGTTAGACAGGTCAGGTGGCCCTCCTCCATCTTATGGCTGTACCATCTGGAGTGGATGGAATCCAAGCTCCTTGCCCAGGGTAGACAGGGATGGAGGAAGCATACTGGCTTTGCATCTCTTCGTCCTCAGAGTGACATCTATCATTTTCATTGGCCCAAAGTAGTCACATGGCACCAAACCTAAACTATAAGAGAGCATAGAAAAATGGAGTTGGATGGGTCAATAATTGTCACTACCACATTGCTCTTTCTTTTGATGTGAACTTTGAATTATATTCTTGTTTTTTTTATTTGTTTGATTTGTTTGGTTTTGCTTTTAATCTTGAGAGCGCCTACTACCACGTTTTCCTTCCCACTTAGCCATCTTTGTTCTTACTGGTTCTTTTTCATCTCCTTCCAGGTCCTCTTCATATTTTAAACAAACCAGATGTTATTTGCACTCTGAGGCCCCTTATCATTCTGGCGCTATTTCTTTGCTCTCTTCTCCCTCTCCCAAACTTTACTTCATCCCTCTGTGCTTTTCAGAATCTTTGGTGTCCTTGTATAAATTCAACTGCAAAGCACTACAAAATCAATTTTTTTAAATCCTCGGTTTCATCCAATCACCATATTTTCTAAGATTTTAAAGTGACTTTCTACTAAGTTATTAAACCCAACTCATCCTGGCCCAGCCCCAGTGTATACTCATTCATTCTTTTCTTCTTTACAAAATTGGTCCCTACCATCTGATCTCTCTCCATGTGAATATTCAGGAGCATTCACAGAGAGACATCTGACTAGGTAGTAATGCAGATATGTACTTCCTGTTCTAAAGTATCAGATCCTTCAAGACAAGGGCCTTGCTTAGGGTGTTTAGCAAAATTCTGGGCATGACGTAAACACCTAAACATCTGATAGAATACATCCTTCCTTGTGAAGTCTCTTCTTTACCAAATTCAATTTATATGTGTAATTTAGTTGTTATATGAAAAATAATACCAATAAAATTAAAGAACAATAGGATAAATGTAAGCAGCCTTTTGAGAGAGAGAAGAGTAATATATTTCTTCTGGATTGTGGAATGAAAAATTATCACACCTCGTCATGCTATTTGGAGTAAAATTTATATTTTTATTTAGTCCTGTTGAATTATATTGTTACACTGACCCTCAGTAAATGCTTCCTGGGAGTCATCTGTGCAGTGATAACAATTTGCTTATAATAATTGTTTTCTTATTTTATGCAGCTTCCTCCAGCTTTGCACCACAATTTGAAAAGAAGGGTTATAGAGAGATTCAAGAAATCCCTCTTCAGCCAGCAGAGTAACCCTTGCAATTTGAAATCTGAAATTAAAAAGGTACAGTATTTGACATCTAGGAATTCTTCTTTGGCTAACAAAAACACATCAGAAGAGTTACATTTTACACCTTCTCCGCTTTGTACTTTAAGCTCTATCCTCTATTAAAGGATGTTATCCTAGTTTGTTTTAGTCCTCTCAAGCTGCTATAAAAAAGACACCATAAACTGGGGTGTTTATAAATGGCAGAGACTGCTCACAGTTCTGGAAGCTGGAAGTCCAATATCAAGGTGCCAGCATGGTCAGGTTTGGTACAAGCCCTCTTCCCGGTTACGGACTTGTGACTTCTCCTGTGGTCACATGGCAAAGGAGGCAAGGAAACTGTCTGGGGCCTCTGTATAAGGGCACTTTTTGTAAGAGGACTTCCATGAGAGCTTTGTCCTTATGGCCTAATTACCTTGCAATGACCCTGCCTCCCAATACCATCACCTGGGGGGGTAGGTTTCAGCATAGGAATTTAAGGGGATGCAAACATTCAGACCATGGCACTGTGTATGATACGAAATTGAGGATGTCTTTGCCTCTGATTTTCTCACCTTTATTTCTGTGGCCATCACCTCAGAAGATTAATAGAAAGTTCTTTTGGTACGATCGCATGTTTTCCTAAGAATAAATGTTATTAAATATCTTTAATTAAAAAATATATTTTAGCCTTTTTAAAGAGAATTCTACTCCAATATTTTATTAGAATGTTCTCCAACAAACCTCTAAATTGAGCTGTGTCACTCTGAACAAGTCGTTTAACCATCTGAAGCTGTGATTTTGATCACCTACGAGGGTGGAATGAACCACTGTTGACCGTTGAACAACATGGGGATTGGGCACTGATCCCCTGCTCCCGCACAGCTGAAAATCTTTTTTTTAAAGATTTATTTATTCATTTTAGAGAGAGAGAGAGAGCATTAGCACACGTAGGTTGAGGGAGGAGCATCTCAAGCAGTCCCCCGCTGAGGGTGGAGCCAGCCTCAGGGCTTGGTCTCAAGACCCATGAGATCATGACCTGAGCCACAACCAAGAGTCAGACACTTAACGAACTGAGCCGACCAGGTGCCCTGAAAATCTTTGTATAACTTTTGACTCCCCAAAACCTTAACTACTAGCTGCTTACTATTGATCAGAAGGCTTGCCAATAGCCTAACTAGGGGATTAACACACATTTTGTATGTTATATATTACATACTGTATTCTTTACAATAAAGTGAGCTAGAAATAAGAAGATACTGAGGAAATCATGAGGAGAAAATACATTTATAGTACTGTACTGTAAGAAATCCACATAGAAGTGGACCCAAGCAGTTCAAAACTGTGCTGCTTAAGGGCCAACTGTATTTCTAAGCTTCTTTCCATCTTCGACATTCTATAATCTCCTAGACCTCAGGTGTTAGTCAATATTTCTATTCACACACACAAAAACTAAATCACAAAGAAGTTAAATCAACCAGACAGAAGGAAAATTATTTGTCCCTAATTAGGACCACTTGATGACAGGAAATCCCTTTGTCCTGGCCGGCAGCCATTTCCATAAGCCCTTGGAGGTGGTCACAAGCTCCCCTTCTCCTGTCCCGGAAAGACCTGAGGCCCAAGCAGTTTGCTCCCATTTTTATCTATCATCTATCTATCTATCTATCTATCTATCTATCTATCTATCTATCTATTTTATCATCCACTTAAACTTTGAAACAGTCATGTGGCCAATGAACTTTTTCTTTAAAGTTTCTTTCTCCTTTTCATGGATCTAGTCTTAAGCATAAATGTACTCCTTATCCAGGCAGTATGATGGGCTCTTTGATAAGAAATGCAAACAGTGTGTTTGCTCTGTTGCCTTACCTCCGTGATGTCTGCACCTACACAAACAGGAGATGGGAAAAGAGAGACAGCGGCAGGTAAACAAAACAGAAACCCTGCGTCATCAGAGATGAAAGAGCACAATTTCTTTCACAGGTTGTGTTGGCAAATCAGACCAAGAAATAAAGCTCGAGGAGCTCAAAACAAGTGGATGAGACTGTGGATATTTGTTTTATGATATTTACATATTGTACCATGAGTACCAATAAATATGTTTTAGGAAGACAGAGGCTCAAATATCCCATGAAAATATTACATATTGCTAGGTTTTAATATTCTTATTAAAATGATATGCGGAATAATCCAGTTTGTACACAAATTTATTTTGACAGAAACCCCAGCTTTAAGAGATGAAAGTGCCCGCATCAAGCTGTCCGATGCACAGAGGGGCCTCCAACTCTTCCCCTGAGGCTGATCTTCCACCGTGCATGTCCTTAAAGCAGATCGCTTGCTCTTTTGTTACTGAGGTTTACTGGTTTGCATCCCTTCCTTGCTGTGTTTCTTGTCTCTCCTGATAGAAAAAAGATTCTCTTTTGTTAGAATGGCCCCACCTGCCTTGTCGGCCTTCCCTGTACAGTGGCAGCACCTCTCGGGGCACGTACCTGCTGTCCTTGGTCTGGGGAGTGGAAAGGGATTAATGGCGTGGTAGAGGGCGTTCGGGGAGCCTGGGTGAGGGAACTCAAGGGGGCATAGACTTAGCCTTCTGTTCAGTGTTGTTTGGAGGCAGATTAAATTCTCCTGTGAGAAATGCTATGTTCCCCTTCGCTGAGAATTACAAGGTCGTGGTGGTTCATACCATCATGGTGTTTACAGGCACATGAGGGAGGCACAGGCCTCCCCTCCTGCGCACGGAACAGATTTTCTGCCTGGAATATTAACATGCCTCCTATTCTCCACCACTGAACCGAGAGGTCAGCTTCTCCATAAAAATTTCCCTCGATTTTCCCTGTTCAGAATCAATCTCCCCTTTCTCTCTGCTTCAGGCACTTTTTCACTCACATTGTTGTGTTTTAAATAGCTTTTTATCTAGCTTTCATTTCTGTTTCCCCCAAAGGCAGTGAGTGTGTTATATTCATCTTTGATTACCTGCAGTCTTGCACAGTGCCTGGCACATGATAGAGCTCAATGTATGATTGTTGAATATAGAATATATTCTATGTTGATAAATATATTCTGTATAATATAGTCTATATCGGTTCTATTCTTTATTGATGTGTATAACATATTATATGACATATATTGGCATGTATTATATTTATATATTTTTATATGAATATAAAAAGAAGCCCTCCTGCCCTCATCTAAACATAAATGAGAAGAGTCTGTGGCCTCTGTTTTTCCTCCCTTTCTGGTCTAATCTTTTGTTTGTGACAATTTTTGTTCAGAAATGAATTTTTCATCCCCTGTATAATCTCGGTGGAGTGGCCTATTAGCTTTTGACTAACACAGTCACCCACCCCAGGGCCGTGGAAGAAGCAAGCAGTGATAGTTCATAAAATGCATTTGATTTCCACTTCCCCTCTGAAATTTGTCCTGAAATCCAGGGACTCCATGTCTCCAGTTTGAGGAATCATTATGGGATGATTGTGCCTTCTGATGAATGGCCTGAGACCCAGCAGGATATATAGAAGAGTGAAATAATAGAAAAGCCGTTTCCTAAGAAACTAAGCTCTTTATTTATGACTTATCTAAGCTGATCTGTGGTCCAATCTGCTCAACCTTGGCTAAAAATTCGAGGGGAATAAAACATGTGAGTAATTGTATAGTGTTTTGGGAAACTAGGATTTTGGGCATGGGAGAAAGGAGAAACAGAAACAAGATGGAATATATTAATTCAAATTAGAATTGGAAATCCCAATATGAATGAGTATGAATTCATGATAAATCTTTTTAAAAAATACACGTATTTCCTAATATTTTCACTAAGTTGTCTAGAAACTAAGCAAGCAGCAGTGAGCTCCCTGAGCACCCGTGGAGCCTCGGAGATACAGCTGAGAGCAAGGACTAAAAGATTAGGTGGAAAGTCTTGACATAGTAGGTCGTGTAGTGAGGATGCCATCAAGGATAGCTGAGGATGTGTAAAAACGACCTCAGGAACCAACTTAAAGAGGCTCCCACTGGCTATCTATTGAATAATTAGAGCATCAATAAGAATAATAACTGCAATGGATTGAAAGCATTAGCTAAAGTTTACATCTAAGAGTTCATGGCAGAAAAAGAAAAATCCCTCATTGGTTTCCTTTGGAGGATGCTAAGTAACCAACTCATGATTCTGAAAATTATTTACAAAAGGAAAGAATCAAACATTTATTCTGCTGTTGCCTTATGAATTCTATCCCAGGGTAACTAAATTGATGAGGGGAAGTTTCTCATTAAAGTAGTCCTTCAGCTAATAAGAACCAGAGGAATAAAAATCGTTGCCATTCTGCAGCCTCTAATAACGGATCTAGACATCATCCCCAGGGGCTTGCTAATGTCACAAAAAGAGGGGCAGCCAGACGTTATATGCCTCCTGATGGACGTGCAGTACCATCTATGAAGTATATTCGCTAAAGGCTTGGATCTGCATCCGAGGAAGCCTCTATATTGGAAGTGGGCAGACTGTGGTTTTTGGAAATAAAGTTTCTGGAACACAACCACTTGCCTTCACTCACAGTATTCCCTATGGTCGCATTCACCTTCTAGGCACAGTTGAGTGGCCGTGACAGAGATGACACGGCCTGTAAATCTCTCAGTATTTCCTATCTGACCCTTTACCGAAGAAGTTTACCAACCCTGCTCTACCTCTAGCTACGCACCTGTAGCAGATACATGGGTCGAGAGAACATGTGCAATGACCCCATGGGGATAAGCAGGCAATCCAGACTGGGGAATTCTATAGGAAAAATGACACATTCTTAAATAAAGAAATTACAAGGAAAGGTGAGCACTTCTCTTCGGTTCCTAATCTCTATACTTCAACTCAGCTTGGCAAGGTCAAGCTTACCTTATTCAGGAGATGGCAGTCTCTTTAATTCCTAACTCCAGGTTTCGGGCTCTTTTCCAGTTAGCAGATTGCTCCTCTCCTCATGCTTTCATTAATGTCTTTTGATGCACATCATAATTACGCCTTATATTTGCCTAGCCCTTGTCAGGGCCCCATGGAGGCATCATAA